CGTGAGCTAGTTCTCCATTCAGACCATCAAAACAAGGGTGGAGGGGAGCCGACCAACAGTCGGTATGGTTGAAGGTGTAAAAACCTGCAGCCCAAAGAGACGACTTTACAGATGCATCCAACCACACGTCTCAGCCCACTCCCTCCACCTGTTACCTATAGTGATGTCAGCTGTGATGTTTCCGTCTGTGACCTCTGTAAATGAAAGAGGAGACACGTCGCTCCATTTGGTGAAGGCGATGCTGAAGGCCTTCTTTGTGTCGTCAACGTTGAGTGTATTGGGAAACTTGATGATCCTGAGATGAGAACAAACATTTACTCACTGATATTCAGCCAATGACAACAGGGCTATACGTGAGGCAACGAATAATAACATTGTGGAAGAGGAGGAGACGAGATGAGGGGAGATGAGAGAAGAGGAGAGTGAAAGCATAGTGAAAAGATCAACACAGATGTCATTCCTTCCTGTTCACTTAAATGACAATAAGATCAACTGTAGGAAAATCATGTTTTAATTCAAGTGGAAAAGGGACAGAGCTGATTGATGACTGCAGGTCCACTTACCTGTAGGTGATGTTGTGGTGAGTCCACTTGTGTCCCACAGGGTTGATGGCGTACCGTTTGACTCTCTGGTGCTCAGCAGATCTGGACGTCCCGCTGCTGTCACTACACACCTGAAATCATGTCAACCAATCAGCTGCTGTCTTTCTATGGTCATAAACTGCTGCTACATCAGCTGACCTGGGTTTGAACTGCTCAGTGTAAGATGTTTTTAAAGACCAGGACCACTGTGTGGAGCTGTACTTAAGCCTGATCTTTGACCTTCATGGAACAACTTTCACTCCGGCAAGAAAAACATCCTGATGCATTTAAATACATGTGTCGGCCATTAGTTTGTGCAGGAGAAGAAAAAATAAAAAATCCTCGCTCAGTGAATCATTGTTCTTTGTAAACTGTTTATACCACAAATAATACAACAGAAAAATACATGTAAAAAACATGATTAATGTCAGAAGACAAAACAATATTTATGTAACTCAGCAGAACTGTAAAGTGACACCAAGCGATCATGGTCCATGTGTACTGGCTGCACATTGATCCATGTGATTGGCTCACATGACGGAAGTTGATGCCAGATCTGAACCATGTTATGCAAACATGTTAAAACCTTTGATGTGTTTCTCCTTTGACCAAACGCTCTCTCACCCTCAGATGTCTGTCACCCACATGTGAACTGTGTTCTCCACCTCCCACCCCCCCCACCCCCACATTCTCCTGCCTTCTATCAGAGAAGACTACTGTTAAAGAAACAACCACTAAAAAACATGGCTAGTGTTCGACTGAAAATGATGTCTTTACAAAAACAAGTGGATAATCAAGAGACCTCTTCTTGGATGACATCAGAGGCTGTTCTACTGCTGTTATATACAGTATATATATATGTGTTCTACCATATACTATACATGCACTACAACAATCACTCTGCTGAGCAGCTGCTGCTCCTCCTACCTGTGCATTATTATTATTATGACTAATATCAGGAAATAAAAAAAAACATTAAGAAGAAAATCTCCTTCACCACAGACCCACATCAAGTTGTCCTGCCTCTGGATGTGGATCAGGGAGCTGCTCTGAACAGAGGCACAATTACACAACACCACTGCTAAGACTGCAACTTTTCTACAGTGAACAACCACAATGAATTCTAAGAATGTTCTGAGGCTGGGACTGTTAAAGCACTGAGTCAGAGCTAGTACCGGTCCGGTACCATTTCCAACTCTGTAGCTGGGTCCTACAGTGATTCTGAGCAGGTGACTGTTAGAGATGCTTTTCTGGCTACATGAATGTGTGAAGAGTACACATTGATCATATAGTGTTTGGAGAGTTAAAGAAAATGAATGACTATTTATAATTTATAAATATGACGTTTTTCTCTTTCAACGTATTTTGTCTCCTCAATTCTTAGATGAATTCTATTCTAATGTTTCACTTTTTACTTTTCTGAATCACAGCTGTTGTGACTGGTATAATTACTAAGTTATATTTTATCTTTACCTTTTTTTTTTCCAAAAGTACTCACCTTCATGATGAACATCACCAGGATCCACAGCTGAAGAGGAAACATGGTCAGGTCTAATCATCTGTCAATCAATCAATCAGTTAATTGTCAATGAATGACCGGTCAGTCAACACGTGATCCCATCAGAACTAAAACAATTTTCCGGCTCCCTCGGAACTTTTCCACTACCGACCCTGGAGACGCGTAAAACCGCAGCGCGCCCGGTTCCAATAGAGACTAACAGGAAACCAGAATTATCAACGATGAATCCCGTCAGTGGCTCCGTTTGTCCCCATCGGTCCTCTGTGTCACGAGAGGATGAAACCAGTTCGACAGAGACCGGATCCGTTTCTGAACCTTCGTTTTGGAATCAAGTGAGTAAAGTTCTTGGACAAGTAGGTTCGATTTACTATGGGGTTGCTCCGGAGGGGCGGGGAGAAGGGTGTGTGTGTGTGAATAAGAGAGGGAGACAGAGAGAGAGACGCATTCATATCAAGGGGCCAAAGTTTGACATATTTACAAGGGCATTTTATCCACAGGCTAACATTCAGCTGTTCCTGTTTCTCTTTTTACTCTTAACTGCCTTACATTGTTGCTGTTTTTTAACTATATTACTTTTTCAAAAATTTCTTATGGCTTTCACTATGGCAAACAGGTGATAATACAACGTAATATATAAAAAACACAAAAACCAGTGTGTGTTTGTTGTTTCTTCAGTCTTGACCCTGTACCATCTCACCTCAAAGGTCAAGGTCCCTTGCAGGTTCCAGCTGTTCTAACTACATAAACAAACACCCCGACTGACTGTGGTCTAGGAAGGCCTCCCAGGGGCCCCCAAGTAGAGGGCCACAGGTAGCATCACACTGAGGTGTTTTCCTCTGTGTAGCAGCAGATGTGGAGCATCTGTTCAAACAGAACCACGACCTGACGCCGCTGCTGGTTTCACCATTACCCGGAGCTTGGACTAAAATAAACCTGCTCTGAGACACACCCTGTCTGAGAAGTTTATGTTGGATCAGGGTTTTATCTGAAATGCGACTCCTCAATTCTGCTTTCTGAAGGACCAGGACAAAAGGCTGGTCCTGATCCAAACAGCAACCAGAGTCAGGTCTGGATCTGAAGAAAGTTCAGGATTATCAATAATACAGAGAATCCCTGTTCTGGACCTGCAACAACACGAAACCAATGTAACTGATGAACCAGACAAAGCCAGAACAGGACCACAACCCAACCAAAATCAAACTTTTTGTTAAGTTACACTTGGTATCAGAATCGAGCAGAAAAGATCTGAAATTAGGAACCATTTCTAAGTGACTTACCTTTGGTTAAAAACACCAGTTGTACTAAAAATATCATCTTTATAAAAGTGTTGAGAACTCGCTCACTAAAACTGATATTTCCATAAGGAGAAAATACCTTTAACAATAAATTAAGTTAAAAATGTCACCATAATTTTTCAGATGTGTTGACAGAGTTCCTGTTCCTGTAGTGACTCAAAGGATGAGCAGCAGAGTAATGGATTTCTAAAACATAAAATTCAAATAATAATAGTAAAGTTCTCATCATTCATTGTTTTATAGCAGTACTGTAAATAAATAAAGATAACTTTGAGAGTTTTTTCTTCTTCTCAAAGTTATTTGTAAATGTATGCTATGTTCCTGCAGGTCATGTAACATACCTGAGGTCACATGACCTGTCTGTCTTGTTGAACAATGTGAAAGCCCCTCCATGAATGATTTTTGTTTCAAATATCAAGATCTGGACGTGGACTCAGTTCTCAGATGTCCAGTTTCCCATCATGCTTCTGTCCGCTGGCAGCGGCCCTACAGGGGCCTCTTGGCCATCGTCCAACCAACGCAGAGGTCGGAGTGTCGACTGAGAGACGGAGACGACTGTCAGAGCAGGAGAAGGACGAGGATTTAATGACACGTACGTTCATTCATCTGTCCGTCTACGTGTACTCACACACTCATTCACACACGCAGCAGCAGCAGGTTCCCACATCTCAAAGTCACCTCGTCTTCCTTGTTTAAATAGGCTGCGGGTCGTCATGGTAACCAGCGGCAGAGACAAAAAACGCTGATCCTTCAAAACGGCAGTCAACGTACAAACGCACAACAATCACATGATCTTCAAAACTTTTTTTTAATCATAAACATTTTAAGAGGATGAGAAAACAAATCATATTTACACACAATCATGTCAATGTGGAGGACAGGATTCATTATATACAAAAACAATATTGTCCTCAGCCAATAATGCCAGACTAGACAGAAGAGGTTCACCTTTGGCCTTTGAAATAAAGATACTACCGATACTTTTAGATAAAGTCTGCATCTCTAAATCAAATGTTTATTAAAATGACCTTAACAAAACCAACACCATGTCTTCACTGTTTACAACAGACAAATGCAGTCCACACACTGTGGTATGACACTGCCCCCTGCTGGCTTAAAATATTAACTTCATCACATCAGCTTTACTGCAGGTACTAATAATCAACAATATTTCATTTATTTTGTTATTATTTTAAACATCTCTGTCAGCGCTGTACTTTCTTTAGGTTTTGATTTTCTCATCCAACGTCACAAAAATCAAAACCTAAAAAAACAACAGAGCAGCAGAAAACCGCACTGAAGTCTCGTCCTGTAAGAGGAAAAAAAAAACCTCCCCAAAAACACACACACAGCTCTTACTGTCAATCATCCATCTGTTTGTACCAGGTCAGAGTTGGTCATCGCGTCCTCCTCCCTATTGTCATGCCGACTTCCTGGTCATAAACAGCTGCCAGACAGATGTTTGATGAAGATCAGAAGATGATCAAAGCCTGGACATCAGTCTGTCAGGAGCTGCTGCGTGTGTGGCCATGTGAACATCCATCACTGTTCTGTAGAACAGAGAATCGGGTTCAAGACTGAAAGCAAACGTTGTCAGTGTTTAACAAAGTACAAATACTCCAAGTTATCAGAGTACTAACACACTCTGATAACTTGGTTTAGACTCCTGCTCGTACAGGTGTGTTCACTTAGCCTAGCTCTGCCTCCGTTCACTGTAATATGAATGTTAATGCCCTACATGTGTGAAGACGGAGTTCTGTGATGTGTCTTTAGTGAACACCAGATGCCCACCAGCCTGGTCAGCTAACACACCAACAGACTCTCTGTGCTCGCATCATCAGCAGCAGCAGCCATGTTGGTGAAGACTGAGATGACCTCATCCCTGTGAGCTCCCTCTTACTGCCAGAGTGCCCCCAGTTGCTCAGCAACCCCACCTCCTACATCACAGTGGCTGTGAGATAGAAGCTGCAACGTCTCTTTATGCCTGGATGTACAGGCGATGATGTAGAGCAGGGATGTAAACGTCAACTAAGCCCAAAGACAGTTCTACATCTAGTACTGTTTATGCCAGAGAAGATCGTTTGTAAAGTAATGTAAAAAAAACAACACAAAACAACCTTTACATTTTGTTGATTTTTGCTTGGTTGCATTTAGCATACTGAACAGTTCAATTCATTTGTTTAAACACTTTAAAAAAAATTTCCCTATTTAGTAAGAGTTTAAAATTAAATTATTTAAAAAAAAACTTTTGTTTTAGGAAACAATTTTCCAAAGTTCACCACATGAACCACTGATGTATGAAAAAATATTATATATATTATAATATTCATACCAATTTATTCGGAAAAACTATTAATATAACAAAAAAGTTATTTTATTTTAATACGTTTTAGTCTTTGTTTGTGTTTATGTTAAGCTAAATGTATGGGTCAGTGTAGCTAGGTTAAAGCATTTTGTATAATGACTGCTAGGTTGCATCTTGCAGTTTATTAGCAACACTTTTAACGTCCAAGTCATTGGCATTGGAAATTTGCAAATGAAAAATAGATACATTAATTTCTCTTTTTTTTTTGCCAAACTAAAGGCAATTTGTTACGCACTGGTGTCATTAAAACAATAATTTAAGAACGTGTATAAAACTGACTTCATGTCTGTCACGATGACAAATGGGTGCACAAAGGCTAACATTTAATCGAGCAGTACTTCAGTCACTAAAACTTCATTGAATTTGTCAAGAACACGCGCTAACATTATACTGACGTCACTTCTCTTCACTCTTTATATGCAGCTAGAGGTTAGCATGTTAGCCTCTCTTATGAGCAAATAGCGACAAACTAATTGACAATGTTGCTAACAGGCGGTTTAACGGGACACCTTCCGAACTCGTACCGTCGTATTTTATTTAGTTCTTTGTTCATTCTTTAATATTCCGCCAACTGAGACAAATATGGACCACTTACTGGAGACGAAGCCTCGAAAATCTAGGCTCAAATGAAACATCACAGTTATTGAAGTCCATTTTCACTCATATTGTGGAGAAGCGGGGAAGTCACCGCCCAATCTGAGCCCTGACACGGCGTTTGTCGGTGAAACCAGTCATACATACGGCACAAAAATCTAATCTGATTCAATTAATGTGAGCCGAATTGCTGGTACACAGACAGTGACGTACAGCATTCAACGACGACTTGCTAAGAATGATCAAATAATCGATATATACCTGAGAGGAAACACGTTAGCATCACCTGCTAACGTTATCGCGGCACAGACGAAGTCGAGCCGCTGCGGCAGTGACGACAAACGGAGACACGGGCAGGGGACGTCTGTCCTCCGTGTCTGTCCTTCATGTCCTGGCTTTAGAAAAGCCACTGGCTTCAGCCGGAAGCCCAGAGTCAAATTGCACCCCTCACAGACGTTCCATCCGGACATTTGACCGTGATCTCTGAGGAGACGCCTCCTCCGCTCGGAAGTAAGATGTCGGCCACAGACCAGACAGTCAGCTGACAGAGCACGAACCGGCCGCGTTCCATTTATAAAAACAGTGTTCTTTTCCTGTGTTACCCCTGCTGCAGGAAACGGTATGTTCCCCGGCAAGGTCCCTGTGTTTGACTCTGATTCTCTGGTATGTCGGAGACGAACATCGGCCCTGTTCTTTCCTTTTTTGTCGCTTTATCAACACACACAATGCGATACATGATGAGGATTGGAATGCGTCCCTGCTTCTCAACTCGTCGGTCTCTTCCCCGAGTTGAACATTACCTTGTTCCGCATGTCATCACTTTTACACCGACGTGTGGAGCTCTAGTCTACAGCTTTATCACCAAATCAAAGTAACTGGCAGCCACAAAAACGATTAATAAATATATACCATTTAAATACGACATATGTAGAACAGAATCTTACCTTTGTTGGACATACAACAAAATAATATACTTACAGCATTTAGCTTTTATAGCAAAGGAAACAAATACAGATATCTCATTGTTAACCTCAGACACGACACTCCTGTGTCTCCTTATTCCCCCCATTCTCAGTCCAGTAATGTGCTAACCCATCATAGAAAAGAACAATTTAAATGCAGTCACTGATGTTTATTTATTTGTCGTTGAGTGATGAGGTAAATAAATATGAGGTAATATCACAGTGTATGTTTAGTTAATCAGCAGCTCTGAACATCAGATTATAGTAGATCCAAACAAACGAATAAATAAATAAAGTTCAGTTTGTTACATGACATCCACAAAGAAATCAGCAGGGTTTCCTGAGGTCATGTTGTTGACAGACTGCCTGGAACTGGAGGAAAAATCTTGAGCCTGACTCTGTGATGGAGCTGACGTAGAGGCCGTAGAGTCTTTGTTACTGTGTTGACTGGTGATGGAGGCCAGGGGCTGATGGTCACTCATGTCAGCCGTAGTCTCTGCTGGTCTGCCTCCTCCTCCTCCTCCTTCCCCATCGCCCTCCTTAAGTCTATCACTGCAGTTAGATCCACTGCTGCAGCTTCCTGTTAATGAAACAATCAGAAAAGTGATGTATTAAACAACATGGAAACACATCGGAGGACACAAAAGAAGACAGATCAGGAAACTCCTTTACCATGGTGACTTCCTTCTCCCTCGCCTCCACCTTCTCCTCCTGCCCAGGTTGGCAGCTGAGAGAGCATGTGGCGAGAACTGTAGGGATGAGGGACAGGGGAATGTTGGAGGACAGCTGGCGACCACTGGTCCTCTTCCAATTCTTCTTCATGATCCACCAGAGACAACAGACCAAGATCTAAAAAAAGAAAAAGTCAGAGGTGCCAGAAACCAAAGTAATGAATGTCCAACTGTTTCCCATCTACACAGAGTAACAGATAAAAATGTTAATTATAATATTAATACCAATTTCATTTTTATGTCATTTAAAATTTTGTGCTAGTGCTAGACAACAGATAAGATAAAAAAGATTTAAAATCACAAACAATAACCAAGTAAAACAGCAGCACAGACAAACAAGAACCTGCTTTTAATTAACAGTTTTCTTTTTCTGATCTGGGCGAGATGTGGGAGGTTCCAGCCACTTACAGCCCACGGGCCATGAGTTTGACATCTCTGCATAAAAGCATAAAGAAAGCAGAAGTATGTGACCTTCATAGACTCACCTGCGCAGATTTCTCCAAACACGTAGTAGCACTGCTCCGAGAACGTCACCTTTCTGACCGTGTGGCGGATGTAGCCGCCCTTCAACAGGTTCTCCGCATACTTCCTGGCTTCACGCCGGTCGGTGAAACCTTCCACATTTCTTTGGAGCCAGTCGACAACATCCGAACCTAAAAGAACAGCGAGAAGATAAAACATCTAATAAAAAAAAACTCAAGACAACAGTGACCGACAGGGGGTATCAGTGAGAATGATCACCATAGTAACTGAAGAGAAAACAACAATCACTTCATCACTTCATTATACTATCATCTCACCAATGAATGCATTGGGAATGGTGATCTTCAACCACATCCTATCTCTGACTTCCAGGCCTGACTCAGGATTGGCCAACGCCTTCACGACAGCTGTGATGTCACTGTGGATGGTCAGCTGTTTGTCCTCATGGTTGTCTGTAGAAATAACAGCAGTCAAAGGCAATGTCTAGGGGCACATGTGCTGCAGTGGCTGATGGAAAATGTACCATAGTGTGGGAGGAGTCTCCCTGTCATGGCAGCAGTGTGAGAAACCCAGGCAGCAGGGTCAATAGGTCGCACAGGTTCACCTTCAGGATGGAAAGATTAGCATTTGGGTCACATGGATTTATAGAAAAGTTACACAAGTTATACTAAAGATAACAAAAAGGTTGAAGATTCGAACAAATCCTAAACCATTTACAACAAAAACACTATTATTTTAAAGAAAATTTTAAATGCATGTTACTTCTAATTTTTTTCCTCTGCTTCTGTTTGTGACCTGTTCAGTTTATGGTGTAGCCCATGGACAGTTGAATTAAGTCTGAAGTCACAACATATATCTTCAGACAAATTATACCTTTCCATCTAAATTCTAAAATCTGATCAAAACAAAAATTGACCTTAGCTTTCACATGGGAAATTAAACCATGTGCTCTGTGACTTACTTCTTGGCAGTGTGAAACAACTGTGTGGGTTTGGATCCCAACACTTGGCCACTGTTAGCGTCACATCCCTGCTGGAACACAGATGTAACAAAAGACAGATGTTTTAACTGTTGAAAATGTGAGAAAATCTCCTTGAAAACCAGGAGGTCTTCAACATGTTCAGGTCGTAAACCTCAAAATGATTAAAAGGGGGATATTAAATAGGAGGAGAGTAGATATGTACAGAGGTGGGGACATGAGTACCACAGAGACCATCACATGCAAAATATTCCTTAAAACAATAAATCCTACATTTAAACCAACCATTGAGTTTATAAACTACTTCGGTCATTCAAATCGTTACTACTAATGTAGTACTTTATAGCCTTATTAGTAGTACTAGAGTACTGACCCCGGTTGGTGGACAACATCTCTCAGGACTTTTACTGCGTCATCGTTGCTCATGTTTTCAAAGTTGACATTGTTGACCTGGAACAGAGAACAACTTTAGTTCCAGCAGTATCTATTATTACAGTAGTACCTTCCACAGTAAGTATGGTCATTAATTATTTTACTTTGTACAATTGTTTTATATTTTATCACATTCTTTTAATGATATCACATTACCAGTAACAACACTTTAGCATTGTTTCAGTACAGGTACCGCAGTAGTACTACAGTATTACCTGCAGTAACATGTCTCCAGGCTCGATGCGTCCATCTGCTGCTACAGCTCCGCCCTTCATGATGGAGCCGATGTAGATTCCCCCGTCTCCTCTGTCGTTACTCTGACCAACGATACTGATACCCAGGAAGTTATACTTCTCTGAGAGGGTGAGACAAAGGGGTGAGACAGAGGGGTGAGACAAAGGGGTGAGACAGAGGGGTGAGAGACTTAAGAGAATGATTTCTACTTGATATCTCTGTGAGATCATTTTATTGACAGCTGACTCTCATGGCCAGTCTCTGCTCTGGACTCACCCATGTTTAGGGTGACAGTGATGATGTTGAGAGACATGGTGGAGTCAGTCACACTGCTGAGAGACACTGGCTGATAGAGAGAGGGAGAGAGAGAGAGAGAGAGGCAGAGAGTTGATGAAACAGACAGACTTCAGGAGAAGCCTCTGCAGAAAATAACAGGAGCTTTACTGTTATTTTTACATGTGTGTGTGTGTGTTTACCCTCTCCATCCGTTGGTTCTTTGGTTTGCGGTGCCGTCGTCGCTGTCGTCTAACCAGTCGTGGCGAGGAGCTGCTGTTCTCTGTTGATTGGCTGAATCTTATTTGTCATAAAAAAACACAACAAGAAAAAAATAAAGCAAAACAAACCATCAGAGATGAAGAATACTGAGCTGACAAGTAGAACGTCTGCTGCAAGTCTTTTATGTGTCGCACAATATAAAACTGAAGTAACAGTCACATGACCTACAGTGGCCAATCACAACCTGAGGAGCAGAGCAGCCTGAACAGATTTACTGGAGCAGAAAAAAGGACCAGAGGGCAGGTAATAAAACAAACTCACCAATCACAGAGGGTGAGGTGATGGTTGAAAACAAATTAAATCATAGTTAAAGTTAGTGTGGATGTGCGTGTGCTTTAACCACATCACTGCACACTGAGAATATGACCGATATTGCTACTTATTTTAACTTATCTGCTCTTGCTTAAAAAGACATGTGGCCTGCATGTCATCTTATCTGAGTATACAGTAGTAGTAGTATACAGTAGTAGTACACAGTAGTGTGAAATAGTGTATATGCCTCATACCTCCCGCCTGAATCTTCTTCTGAAGAGCAGAAACTCGTCGTCTCCAACTCGCTGCTCTGTTGGGGGGATGGACTGTCACCTGTGACTCCCGTCCCCGTTCCATTCTGATCTGTTCGTGTGTGAATGTGGTCAATCAGATGCTCACCTTTAAAGACAGCAGGCAATCAGATAGTGATAGTGAACTACTTGTCATTGTGACACAACACAGCACTGCACACAGCGAAAAGTGACCTCTGCTTTTTATCCATCACTAAGTGGAGCAGGAGGCAGCTAAAGCACCCGGGGAGCAGTGCGTGGTTCCAAACTTGAAACCCTCTGGAGCCAAGTCCACTTCCTTTACCACCAAGCCACCACTGCCCACTATATGACAATAAATGACCCTATGTCACCTTACCTTGGTTACAGACATATTTTTCTCTCCTGTTTTGCGCTGAGAAGGTTTGTGTGACCTCTGACCTCTCATGTTCACTAACAGCTAGAGCACTGAGACAGAGAGAGAGAGAGAGAGAGAGAGAGAGAGAGAGAGTGTTAGTGAGGAAGACAAGATATTTTGTGCACTCCTTATCTGTGTGTGTGGTCAAGGTACAGCCATACTTGTATGGGGATAAAATTAAGTTTGGAGTTAACATTATATTTGGTTGACATTTGTAATGGTCAAGGTTAAGAAGTAAAAAGTTCTCTTAGGTTACAAGTTCAATTCCACCTTTTCCCCAATACCAGGTTGGGTTGCACAGAAAGACACCTTGTGTAAATGGCCAATGTGGTAATGGATAATAAAGGGAAGGAAGTAGACTAGGATTCTAGGAATTTTCTCTTGAACATTAAAAGAGTGCCATGTGAAGGACACCTGTGACCTGTAACAGCAGAGTGAGGTCAAAGGTCTGATGGGTGTTCTTCTACTTTATCTAGTAGAATCTGTTGGGTATCACTATATACACTGGAGGAAAACGATTAGAGTAGAACAGAACCAGAGGGAGTCAGCTGAGACGCTGTCCGTGGTGCTGATGGACAGTGGCGTGTTACTTACTGGAAGGATGGAGGTCTGGAGTGCCCGATCCCACCTGTTCGCTCTGTGGGAGCCAGGCTAGTGGGCGTGGTCACTGACTGAACTTCTGACTGACAGGTGTCTGAGGACACCACCTGAGGACAGAGAAACCTGTCAGTGTGTGTGTGTGTGTGTGTGTGTGTGTGTGTGTGTTTGTATATATATTTGTAAGTGAGTGTACAGTGTGTGCCTTACCCAGCAGACGACTCGTCCATTCACACATGGCAGTCTGACATCATCATCACTGATCTCCTCTTTTACCACCCTGTTGACACGCATCATCATCATCATCATCATCAATATTTTCATCATCATCTATACATGCATATTAACTAACTTAACCTGTTCGATTACTACTACTGCAAATTACTATCAACAGCCCTCGGTAACTTCATCATCACTGTGACCGACATACACTAAGAGCCACTTCAGTATATACACCACAGACACCGGGTCTCAGCTCAGGAGAGTAATTATGGGATGTGACTGAGCAACAGATTTGAACCTGGCAAACAACTATTGTTTGATACTATCCTGCTGATACAGACATGGATGTCTGAGGAGTGTTTTTAGTATCTACGGTAAGAATAATAAAACCAGTTTTTATGGCAGGGTTGGACCAACCCGGGGACGAGCAAACTGTACCTAATCAAGTGGCGGCGCTGTGTAATCAAAACGATGCTGATCACGTTACTCACCCAAAGTCGTCGTCCTCCGACTTGAAGAAAAATCTCACGTTTTGTTTGTTCAGCACCTGTTTGAAGTCCGCCAGGGTAACGCGCTGCGCAGGCACGTTGATTCTGATCAGATACGGAGTGTCCTGGTCTTCCAGATGGTAGATGACCCGGGTCCCCTCCGTCATTCTGACTCTGCCCAGAGGAGTCCTGCTCAGTCTGGAGTAGAGGAGGTGAGGTCTGACCTCGCCTCTGTTAACTCTCTGCTTCCAGATGTTTCTGCCGCTCCGCTGGTGCTGATGCGCTGTGATGAACAGACTCCTCCGGATGTAACCGTCACTACCCTATCCGTATCAAAACCCCGATTTCTACTGCGCATGTGCCAAAATGTGTTTCGTGTTGTGTTAAAATATATAAACTAACAATATATAACGAACCAAACGTAAATGCTACGCAGACTTTAAAACAGGTAAACGACACAAATTACGTAAAACTTAATTCCATCCCACCGGTGCGATCGTTACGGGACGAGTGATGCATTCATCCTGTGTTAATTAACTATTAGTGAAGCTGCATATAATGTTTTTAATCTACATTATTATTTAAGTTCTGTTTTGTGATTCTTCCAAACTAACCCCATTCTTTTAAAGAAAACTATTCGCTGTGAATGTTCGAAATTCGTTCTTCGTCTTAATCCGTGAAGGTAACACATCCTAGCACGATCTAAGAGGAAGCAGCTGCACTACTGCACGTGCGCAGAACATATCGGGTTTCTGGGATGGATGGGTTCAAGCTTTAAAACTCGCACCATTACGGGGAAACTACTTCCGGTTTGGCCCTTTGAAGTAAGGCATAATTAAATGTTTGTCAAAACACTGAACCATTAGATTGCACAACACACTATACAGTAAAAAGTTTATACTTGGCACTTCCGGCCTAACATGTGGGAAAATGAATCAACTGTTTCGGGAATACAACGTTAAACTTTGACAAACGTTAAACGCCTGTAATAATTAAGGCAATGTATAGCTTAATGTTTCTGGCAGCAAATGTGACATCTTATATTTTCGTTTCTTTCTGAAATGTCAACACAACTCGTTAGATTTCGTTAGATTAGATTTTTCAAAATGAGTTACTCCATTTACAGGACAGTCTCTTTTACAATGTGCAACAGTGGACAAACTAACTGCAACTGCACAATCTGTTTAATGATATTTAATTCAACCAGAACCTGTGTCTGAGTCAGTAGATGACACTAAAAGATGACACTTAATGCAGGGATTTCTTAAAATAAACCCAAAGGCTCTCATTTTTATGTTGTAAAATAAAAACTAATAAAATAAAATCTCAGACCTTTTTAATTTATGTTCACAGCTGCACGGTATGCCTGTGAGAAGCTGAAAAAATCTTAATACATTTTCACTCATTATTAACATGTAAATTAATTTAAACATATTGATTTTTTTTTTATTGCTACAGTGTTAGCAGAGGGATCCAAGAGTGATTGGCACTGATCAGGAACAACCTGAAGAGAGTCTTTATTGCTGTTAATACAACAACTGAAACATGTCAGTGAAGGCATCATGAAGGCCACTCAGGTGAATTCTGCTGGTTTCTTCTTACTGGTCATGTGTTTCAAAAATGCTGTGGTGCATTTCCAGTTTTAACAGTATGTTTTAAAAAGTGTGAAATTATATGACTAGGTAAAATCTATCATTTAATCATGATTCTTAACTCAGCCTATTAACAATCAGCCAATCAGAGCCATGCATGTTACACAAACGGCTGTATTGCTGCCCATTATATGGGCTGCATCATCAGCCCCTTTAGAAAATAGAATTCTTAAAATAATTTCCTAAATAGATTTTATACAGAGCAAAGAATTAATATTACAGTGTAAAATATTTTCTAATATATTAACTTTAACTGAAAGAATTCTTCAAAGCTTTAAAAATGTGAATCCTACGAGGACTTAAGTTCATATAAAGATAGAAAAACATGATCCTTAAAATAAAACTTCAAACTGTACCTCTTGTCATTTTGTCTGTAAACTACGATGACCTGAAGCAAACTTTTTATTAAGCACTATTTCTAAAGTAGGCCAGTTCAGTTCCTTACATCTGAACTTAGATAAAATAACCTGGATGACTGACAATCTACATGAACAACTCTTTCTGAAGGCAAAGATAAAAATAATACTGATTGACCTACACCTACACCCTGAGTTAAATTCAATAGAATACATATGGAGTTAACTAAAGATCAAGGACAAAAAACATGAAATCTGGATGAGCAGGAGATTCTGCAAGAAAGACTTCGAGCTGAAATACGTGTGATTCTTTACAGAAAATTAAATAAGATAAAAATAGCACAGATATCTTAAGATATCCCAGGTTAAGAATTGCTCTGTATAAAATCATCAGGAACAAGTTTACATTAATTTAATTATTCTAGGTTTACGATTATGTCTTCCACATCACTTTCTATTATTTTCTTATTTCTATGTAAATAATCAGATGGAAACATGAGTTCAATTTCACTCTGTAGCCCCTCGGGGCATCATCAGCTGACTGATGAACCAATCATAGCCTTAATCCTCACGCCAACACATTCATGTCCCTCAGAGCTATTGCATTAGCAGGTGTTGTCGTACCAGGCTGTGGGGGAGGTGGGGTGTGGGAGGAGGAAGAAGTGATATTGATGGAAGGAGATGGCTCGTTCTGATTGACAGGGGTGGAGCTAGTCTGGAACAAGATTTGTTGTAAGGTCCGTTTTAAGTTTGGATGAAGGCGAGACTGAGTTTGGTAGAAAATTTCCACAGCCGCACACTTCATGACCCCAGCAACCATGTCCTCATACAGCGGCACTGTGTACATCCTGGACGTCTGAGGACGGAGAAAAAGTTCACATTCACACTGACTGGCAAAAGACAGTTGCTTACAAAGGATTGTGGGAGCAAGTATCAATGGCTGCTTAGACTGCAAAAGCAATTCATCAAGTCCTTAAATCAATAATTACAGATAACTCAGTTGATTACCAGGTACAAAACACATTTTTAGTCTGTTGTGGTATCAGCAGAACTCAGCTCACATGTTTGTGCAGGAAGGCCCGAACACGTTGCAGGTCTGGATAGAAGGTGTTCCTGACGACCAACTGGAGCCAACGGATCTGAACCTCAGCATTCAGGTCATCAAACAAGGACGAGTATGACGATGAGAGGCGCTGCATCACATCTGCCAAAAAAAAAGGTCAAAGCATTGCAGATTAGACTGAACCGGACTCCAAACAGAGAACTCAGACCTGATGGGTTGAGTTTCCAGTGGTGGTCAGGATTCATCTTCTTCAGCTATTCCCATTTATACAGTTACTGTACTACTTATGTGTTATGTGTGTCACATATTAATGGCCATTTGGAGAATTGAACCAATCATTAAACAAGCCATTGAACCAATACATCCATCCATCCATTTTCATCCGCTTATCCGTTTCCGGGTCGCGGGGGCAGCAGTCGCCACCCAAATCACATTGCACCGTACCAAACCTTCCTGCAGGTGGTGAGTCCACTGGAAGGTACCAACCGCCCTAACCGGGATTCGAACTTGCCCAGGAGGTGAACCCTGGGGTTCCACACCAATGATAGAGACATTGCCTCTGGGCCAAAGCGCCACTGAACCAATACAGCATGTGCTATATTTTGCTGGTTAACTATATCTCCACCAAGATTGGACCTCAGTAAGGGACAGAAGTCTTGAAGGGACTCCCAACAGGATTAATAAAGTCCTACCTATGTACCTATCTACCTGCAGGAGAGGGAGAAGCCACAAGCTCTTTACAGTAACAGGGTAAGCTACAAATGATGCATACTAACCCTCTAATACCCAGGACTGTCAGTCCTACCTTGTGGCAGAGGTGAGTGGTCCAGCAGGCGATCTAAGAAGAGGACGATCTGAAAGGTGCTCCAGCCTAAAAGATCAAAGGTTGTCAGGCTCTGTGTGTCAGGGGGGTTGCGACTCCTCCACAGATCACATAGTTCCTGAACTGGCTGAATAAGAGCGCCCCCTGCTGAAAGGTCTGGTTCATACAAAGGAGGTCCACAGCCACTGAGCCAGCGTTCAAACTCCAGACCTGAGGTGGATGGGATGATGTTGTCACTTTTGTTCTGTCTCAATGCTCTGTGGATAATAGCCTTTCGTAACATATTTTCTATTTTTAAATATTATATTTTTATACTTTTGTGCTTAGAACAAACTGGGACAACAGTCAAATTCCTTGTTAGTGTGGATAAACACACACACACCAAACAAACAAACAAACACTTACCTTCTTGGTGGGCTACATCCTGCAGCTCAGGGAAATAATCCAGGAAGTAGTCGATGAGGTCCTGGGCAACGACACTCTGAAACTTAAACTGCGAAATATAATCCTGTGGAAAAACAGTCCATGACTAAAGGCCATCAAGGAAATCCTGCAGATTTTTGACAGTTTGTGTAAGTGTTTGTCCATACTGACCTTTAGAAAGCAGTCAAAGCGACTAGAGTCTCCACTCAGCTTAGCCAGATATGACACAAAGCAGAAACCTTTCTCATAGGTGAAGAGGTTCATTAAAGAGCTGGGGTTTACACCTGTGCAGGAGAGGGAGGGGTTACAGCTACACCCTTATCACAACGAGCACATGCAGAAATACAAGCCACTGTAAGTGTTGTGTTTGGATGCTGTACCTGGCTCTAGTTTGACCTGTAGTTTGCTCACAGGGTTGTTGTCTCCAAGGAGACGCAGCTGTCTGTGGAGGGCATCCAAACGCACAACGGTCTCCAGACAGGTAAACTCCTCACCTGCAGACAAGGGGGAGGGGGCAATGTCACCTGCAGGACTAATACAGTGAAATATACTGCAAAATGTATATATCTGCCATAAAATCAATAGTATTTGCAAGACATTCAGTAGTATTTTCAGAATACCCTGCCGTATTCATACCATATGCCTCCGTGGTGATTCTCCTCTGTGCGTACGTAGCCAAGCCTTCGCTCAGCCACATCTCCTCCCAGGTGGCATTTGTGACGGCATTTCCAAACCAGCTGTGCGCGATCTCATGGATCACGTCGATGAGCAGGAACTCGCTGCTCTCCAGGATAGAGGCGATGATGAAGGTGAGGCAGGGGTTCTCCATCGCCACGATGGGGAAGGAAGGTGGAAGGAACACAATGTCACACCTAAAGGAAGACCGTGAGTCGATTTACTTGTGTTGTTATTTAACTTGAAAGGGGCTGCACACTGAGAACTCACCTTCCCCACAGGTACGGTCCAAACAGTTGCTCAGCCACATTTAGCCAGCGCTCCATGCTGCCCCCTAGCTTCTTCACCGCACAGGACAGCAAACATGGTTCTGCCCAAACTCGACTCCTAATAACAGGAGATCAAAAACAGGTCATACAAACACAATTACAAACACAACAAACAACAACTCTTGACTGAGACCACAGTAAAAGTATTACTGTTCATGTGAGTGAGAAAGAATTTTTCTAATATTTGCTTTAATTATTAAAATAACCCACTTCTAAATGGATTAAGCATCCACACTGTGACTGGGCATAGCTCTGCCCAGTCCTTTAAGAACCAACCTTGGTCCAATGTCAACATGCTGTAGCTCCCCCACCACTAACGCCACCAGGTATGAAGGCACTGGAGAGTCCATGGAGAACTGGAAGACCCGGTCCGATTTGGAATAGGAGCTGCGAGAGGCACTCATAAGAACCGTCATTCCATCTGGGACCTGCAGAGGGCATCATATTTGTCGTTTTTTTCTGTCTTATTGTCCATTTGTGTTTCATTTGTCACAGGGCAGGACTCACTCTGACAGTAGCTGTGTATGTACTCTTGACAGCAGGAGTGTCAAAACACGGGAAGAAGGAGCGGTTACACACAGAGTGACCCTGAGTGAAGACGAGGGGACGAGACTGACCACAAGTCAGCTCCGTGTCCAGCCACCAGATCTACACATACACACAGAGCACTATTATAATCATTGTCTTGATTTGCATGGTACAAGTGTGTCAGTGTGTGACTTGAGATCTTACCGCCGGCCCGTCTGTGGTGGTGTAGCGGACTGTGACCTGGATCAGTCGGCCTGGTTTCACAGCAGTTGGTAGGCTGATGTTGAGTGACGATCCATAATCAGTAAAGGGGTCGATGCAGTAGGTGAGAGAGGTGGGCTCCTCCTGTCCTGATCCTGGGAGCTTACAGTCTATGGAGTGGATCAACAAAGAAGGATGGGAGTCCAGGATGAGGTTTTGGACTCCGGGTTGGACCATGATCAGGTCCAGAACCAGCCAGCCGCTGATTTCCTTTAAAGCAAAGTTCAACCTCAGGTCCAGGTGGAAGTGTCTCAGCTGGAAGCACCTGAAGTTAGATGCTGAAGCCACATCCACCATTGGACATCGTGGAGACCCAGGACGAAGACCTGGTGAGGGTCGGCTTCTAGAGTCCCCCACACAGTTGACCCCAGAGGCTGGAGGTGATTTCCGGCAGCAGCAGAGTGAAGTGGGGGTCTGCTGGAGATCTGCCATCGTGAGCAGCACCAAGGATAAAGCGCCACTTTGACTGAGAACTAAACCACCGTGAGACCAGGGACTAACTGAACCTCAACACAAATACAAAAAGAAAACCAGGACATACCAGAAATAAAACTTGTCTAAACCAGACCCCAAATCCAGACAAGACCACATTCAAAACCTGATGAAAGATAAACCTCTAAATAGGTAAATACCAAAGGCAAATAAGGACACTTATGATCCAGACCAGGGTTTAGGTCTGGACTACCTACCACTGGTTTCTGACCAACCCACAGAGTGTACTACATCTATATCCCAGAACAGGAGGTTAGTTTTAGACCACTTTCTCAGGATCACCAAACGAGTCTGAGTGAGGTGGCGTCATGTAGACACTGCATCCACAGCAGTAAAACAAACTTCAAGACCAGCTTGGATTTAAACATGGAATGAAGTCTAATTCTCTTTACCACAGTCAACCACCATTTGGAACCTCATTGAAGTAACGGATAATTTACCAGCTTTCCTGAACAAATAACAGAATAAAGCACACTTGGGAACCAACTGAAGAACATACGGTACTGGCTATAAGACTAAGTTAAGCAATGGACCCGTTCAAAATGCTTAAAATGTAACGTAAACCCTGGTTTCACTCGGATCAACGATATCTTTTAACCGTTTAAATCGGATGTAATAACGGTTTGAAATTGTGTAAACCCGGTTTGTTGGAGGTGAGCAGTTGATTTAATTAGCTATTTTAGCTTTAGAACAGCAGTAATGCAGGAGGTCAACGATTGTGACTAACCCCGGTTCACTAACCCGACTAGCAGCGCTGGCTAACAAGCATTAGCAGCAGTGTTTTTCAAAGACACAGCGGTTCCCCCTGACAGCTCTGACCGGCTCCCTGCTCCCTGTCCGGGTCAACGGACCCTTGTCCTCGCTGAGCGTCGGAGTCGGGGGGTGAGTCCGTGTGTAAAGAAAAGAGCCGGAGACAACAGTGAAGACAAAGACAGAACAGTGTTGTCAAATACAGACACAGAGACAGACAGCAGACATAAGAGAAGACACATAGAGGAGGAGCTGTTCCTAAACAGGAAATAAAGACGGCAGGGAAAAGTTTCTGTGCCAAGCAGGGGACGCTGTTGAGCAGCTGCGCTAGCCCCATTTTTTTCGAGAACGTTTTTTTTAATATACTTGACATTATTGATGCGTTTAATGACATTTCTTATGATTATTTGTAATTGTTAACAACGTGATTCAAACGTTTATAATGTATAATGTTGACTTAACTTGTTTTTTGCGATTTCACCGTTTGTGGACTGGTTCATAAATTGTTTTATGATAATTGAATAATTATGACACGAATAATTGAATGTTTTGCTGCTTATAGCTTTAGCATTTGGACAGTCACAGATGTGTTTAGTGAAAGCGTGCACCTTAATGCATTTCTGCTTAGTTTCTCAACTTAATTACCTTAATAACATGTGTTGATTTTATCAATTGCATTCTGAGATATTTATATTTTCTAAATTACTTAAATTGTTTACTGAACAAATATCTTTATAAAATATCAGTCTAATTTCCTTAAAACCTTAGTAAAGTATTAATCTAAATTACCATTACATTTTCTAACAAACCCTTAGTTTAATATTAAAATATTTTCTTATTTTACATCTTCAACATGTTCTAAGTAATAATGTGGACCTTTTCAGTTCAGTTTTTTCTGCCATTTGACCAACTTATCAATTGAACTTTTAATCTTATGAACTTTATTGATCCCACACTGGGGAAACCCACTTAAAAGTTTTATTTAACAGGTAAATCAACACATGGAAAACACAGGAGACACCACAGCAGCTCGATCAATCTGATCATTTTATTGTTTCTGTACAAACAACATGTGACGGCAAGTTCTCTTCACACTCGAGAAGGGTACAGCATCTAAAAGACAGCAGATCAGAGGAAACATGTTATCAGAAGTCAATGATGGTTCAACATTCAAAAGATCTAATCAGGATCTGTTTCAATGCAGGTAAGCACCACTTTTAGTTCCTCATCTTAAAAGTAACAGACACTAATTTTATCACAACCCCATGCCCCCTCAAATGACTAACAGTGGGCCTCAGCCATTGAACTGACCCTTACCCACAAGGCCCTTTCCCCTGACTCACCACTCTGATACGGTGTCCAATCGCTTTGGCTGGCAGGTTGCTGCTGAACTTGGCTCGGACCATCCCACTGTTTCCGTGAGCACGGGTCACCTTCCCCCAGATGACTCTGGTTTTGTTGGGACTGCCGCCCGGCGTGACTGTGTTTCTAAAAATCACAACGTGAAGAAATGAATATGAACCATGGTACATCTTGACTTGAAAGAGCGTTAGGTGAAACTGAACTGGC